AGGTGTTATATAAATTGCTCGATCAAAATTAAATTCTTATATGAAAACTATTCTTTTTTTTTTTTTTTTGTTTTTTGACAGATTTTATACCTTTGGAGGAAGTGAAGTTAGTATTTTCTCAACATTTTGGGAAGCACTTTATTATGGTGAATAATTTGCACCATCATCAATATTCGATTTGCTCTAGTGGACTTATATAGTTTTCCTCTCACAAAAAATGTGAAGAAAACGAAAAGTATACTATTGTATACTATATTTTCAAATAACTATTCGGGCAACATCACGATTCCATATGACTGTCGTGCGCTCATACAAAAGTCTCCAGTAGCAATCGATCTACAACAAGACTCTACTCTTCTTTACTCAATTGCAGTACAATGAATTGCACTAAAGTAATTTCGAAAACACTTCTAGGCGCTCTTTTCTATGGCCAAATACGTCAGCTAGTAGTTATTTGCACTTCCGATCGTCAACTGCAGTGTATTTGTTTTTAGTTTCGTACCTAATAGCCCCTTCGTATAATCACCACCATTTAAACATATTTACAGTTGCCATTGTGATTGCTTTAATTGCCGTTACTGCCACACTCTGCTCACTGCTGCAGTCACATTTGTTCTCACCGCTGCGTCACAGCCAACACCGCCGCCCGCACAGCCCGAAGCGTTGACGTTCTGGCTGAGTAGCCGATAGTGCGAGTACAAATATTCATACAAGTATGTATATATATATGTGTGTGTGTGTGTGCCTGCGGTTTGTGCCGTGGAGGAGGTGTGCTGAGTGTGGCAGTTACACGTGCTTAGAACGACTGGCGCTCCCAGACAATGGGCTTTAGGTCACAGCGAAATCCACGTGACTTGCTGCGCCGACTGCGCTGCTGCGTGCTTTTGCGCTACAACGACATCGCTGTGCTGCCAACGCGAGCGCCAGCATTAGCTCATTGCCATTGCATTGCAGTGCCGAAGCGCGTAGGTGAGTCGTGTGTGTGACGCTGTCTCTCTTCCACAAAGCGCTCGGCACGCAGCTGTGCCGTTGACGCTGACGTTTATTGGTGTGCGTTTATTATTGTTATTTGTTTGGCTTTATGCTGGCTTGTTGCATTCTGTAATTTCATGTTATTTATTCGCATATTTCGTTGTTGTTGTTGTTGTGTTGTCAATTAGCCGCCACTGCAGTTTCGGTTTTGTGTTTTATATTTTTGTTTTTGCTTTGATAAAAAATCGAAAATCCACATTTCCGTCATCGGCGCTCGAGTCTTATTCGGCTATTTCCATCTCACATGTGGTAGACACGTATCCGGCTCTGTTGGCCGTTTTAGCTCACGTTTGAAATGTGAGAATCGCGAAAAGAATGCCGTTAAGTATGTATGCGCGGCGCTTTCGTGCGTTTGCGTTTTGCGGAATTTTCCCTGCTTTTTTGATGAGTTTGTAAATGAGTTTGAAAGAAAACAATTTTTTATGCTGCCAATTTATTCACGTTGCAAGCTCCTAAGCCGATCGCACGTTAGCGCTTCTCGAATTCTTTTGCAGCGCGTAGTCGACTACGGCTATTTTTGTATTTTTGTAAGTTTTACTTGTTTATTGCTTTTATTTGTGCAAATGTACTTCTAATGTGGCGTCATACATCATATATTTGTACATTCGTGGACCTATGTATGTTTGTGTTGAAAGCGGTTTTCTCACACATAATTGGTGGGAATAGTTAAAAATAACGATCCACTTTTATTTTTAGTCTGATATTACTGTTTTTTTTTTTCAAAGGCGTCACTTTCCCTTATTGCATTAGATGTTGGGAACATAATGAAAGTAAACTTTTCGTGGGAATTTTGTAGTTTATTTACAAGAGTATTACATTATAGACATAGTGTTTGTTGTTTAGGTAGGCAATATTACTCATATTACCATTCAGTTCTATATTTGATTGAAATACTATAAAAATAACATTTTCTAGATATTGTTTGTATATTATACCATTTCTCTATCAGCTTTTGATAATCTGTATTTGAAAACCCAGAAAATCATCCGTTGAATTTAATTGGTTTAATAATTATGATAATTTTTGGTGGAGATTTCAGCTTATATAGATTTTAACTCTATAAGCTGAGCAATAGAAATTGTAAATAAAACGCAATATATTTAATTATTCATTAATCTCCTTCAGCGAATTTTGTTTTAGCTCTTCGATCAACTGAAAACGGATTCCACAGCGCGGCAATTTCAGTTCGGGGAACAATAAAAAATCACACGGCTAAAATCGAATGAATATGGTGGTTGATGGATTGTATTCATTGCGTTTTTGGCTTTAAATTCGAGCACAATCGTGGCTTGATGCGATGGTAAATAATCCTTGGGTAAAGTTAATGAATTGTTCTTTTACAATTCCAGCCGTTTTCGACGGATGTTCTCACGCAAACGCCGTAATACGACCGATAGGAACTTCTTTTTGACTATTTGTCCTTCCAGAAAAAATTCATGAAGCACCAAACCGCTAATATCGAAAAAGCTATCAGCACCACCTTGAATTTTGAGCGGCTTTGGCATGGTTTGTTTGGATTTTGGCTTGATTTTCCACTCCATTCCGATGATTGTTGATTTTTTTGCATGTATAACTCGCCATCCCTGGCGATTTTCAAGCACTACATCTTTCACTTTTTTAATATAATATTTTCATCACTTGAAGAAGTCGAAGGTCGTTTAGAACGAGGCATGCCTTCAACGATCTCTTAAAGGCTTATACCACTCGTAAGCTTGTGATATATATAAAACTAAACATTTCCAACGATTCGGCACACAAACTTTGATTAGAAATAAAAATTTTGAGAGAAATTCTATAAGATATTTTTATCAGCTGGTGTAAGCAAACTGGCCAACGGCGTGGTGGTCTTTCTCTTCCTCTGCTCCTCCTGCGGATACTGCGTCGAATACTCGCAGAGCTAGACTGTTCTCATTCATTGGGACGACATGGCCTAACCTGCGTAGCCGCTGTCTCTTAATTCGCTGAATTATGTCAGTGATATTCGCCGTTGCTAATGCGTAAAGGACCATAAATCTACCGGAAACATTGACTCATCACATTTTCTCATCGTGTAAGCCTCTGCTCTATATAGCAGGACAGAAATAAATAATTGGTCTTTGTTCGTCGAGAGGGTATTCTCAATTGCCTACTTAGGCTAGAGTTATTCTGCGTTCGTTGTTGTTGGTGCTAATGCTGGTTCCAACATAGCTGAAATTATCTACAACTTTCGTTCCATTTGGTTTGCTTCTCTGTCCAACCTGGAGCGGTTGTTAGTGCTAATGGTATTAATATCGTCGACGTACGTTCTTATTGCACACACGTTCTCAATTTATTTTTTCCAGCCCTAGAATGGAGAATTCTCGCGATAGAAGTCGCCTGGTCTGAAACCTTGTTTAGTATCGAACGGCTCGGGGAGGTGTTTCCCGATCCTGACAGAGTTTTTATTAGTTATTAGTTTCGGGGACATAGAAAATTCAGACATATCGGCATAAGGCAGCTCCTTTTTGTGCTGACAAAAGCAATTTTAATATCGGTCCCTTTTTCACGGTTTTTCTTTTCCATTTTGGTGTAAGGTGAATATCTGGTCCAGGTCTAAAGCCACACTGATAAGGTACAATCAGTTTATTGACGGTGGGATACAGTCTTTCACACACTACGCTCGATATGACTTTATTTACGACGTTAAGTGGGCTTATGCCATGACGATTGGTACCGATTGTGAGGTCTCCCTTTTGGTTTTTGATTGGTAAATTGCGTGGACCAATTACTTTAATAATATTTTATGACTTTTATACACAAGTGGCGAATAATTTTAGAACCTACGATTGCCTAACCTTAAAGTAAACTAGAGTATAGACATATGATTTTAAATCTAATCTACTATATGTATTTCCCATTAAGAACTCAGCTCTATGTAAGGATACAGTTCGAGAAGACTTAAATTTAATTGTATTACTTTCAACTTCATAAAGAATATTTAATTTATTTGATTTCAAATTTGTTCACAAATTGGATGTAGTTTAATTTTCGCTTAATAAAATCTTCGTGACCGTTACAATCACATCAGTTTCTGCGTGTTTCGGTGTTTCAGTGATTTATGTGCGCATGAGCACAACGAGTGGCCAGTGATATCGCCTGCAACACGACAAATCCAAAGCCACCCGCAGCACACAAAAACACACAAACACACTCATGCGCATAAATACATTAATGTACTGTATGTGTTGGAAACAACCCCTAACTGTATAAGGCACGCTTTCGAACTGATAATGGACAGCCTCTTGTGCATATTATTTGTTGTACTTTGCACGGCTGAGTTGTTATTGCATTCGAGATATGTCTGTCCTATGCGTTGCTATGCACACGCTGCTCTTCAATATGCTACCATACGCTACTTAGCTATTTTGCAAATGCTTATAGTTGCTTTTCGCAAATTATTCCATTTGTACAGTGTGTCATAGAAATATACAGACATGCATGCATATATACACAAATGTTTACTACAATATATACGCCTAGCTGTTATTTTCTATGCATTCTAATGCAATGAGCGCTTTGCTTTTGCCGCTACGCTCTTACAAATGTACACGCCATACAAATATACGTCCAAACTCGCCCTCATCACCCCGCCACCGCCTCGCTTAGCTATCCTTTTATAGGGCTCAATGATTTTTTTCTTTTCTTCGGTTCTTATTTGTTTGTTGGAGCAAAGTGGCGCTCACGTTGTACGGCCGCATGCTAGCTGGTAACGCTGCCGCTGACGTGCTGCTGCCGCGCTGCGCATTGGGTGCCTGGCAGCTGCACTGCGCTGCTTTAGCGCTCCAGCGCTCTGTTCTACCCTGCTGTCCGGGTACCAGCTCTGCGGCTGCATTGGCTGCTTGCCGTTGACGGTCGCTGCTTACTGCCTTGCCAGGCTGCTAGCCCGCCTGGGTGACTACGACGAGCCAGTGCTAGTGCTGAGGCCGGCATTTGGTCGCTTCGCGTTCACTTTGACGAATTGACGTACGGTAGTTTGGCCGTTTAGCGGAAAATTACATCGCGGAAAACAGATGAAACTTTTGCTTGATAAATATTCAAGTGCCGTCGCCAATTATGATCGGCCGAAAGTGTTAAGGCGCTCGAAAATTGACGTTCTCGAAACAAACAAGTGTGTGTGTGTGCATTTGTGCACTGATTAGAAATCTCGAAATTTGCGTAGAAGTGCTGGCTTGACTAAGCAACCGGTCAGCGGTGGAAACGTTTTATGTAAAATATCAAATATATCATTTAGAAAAGAAAGAAATGCATACATCTGAATATCGAGAATGCAATTCAGTGGAAATGTAATTATGTAGTGTGCTCGAAAACTAATTCCCAGAATTTCGTGTGGATTAAATTATAAACTGTGGAAACAGTGTGTGTGATTTTCTTGCGAATTTTACAAAACTGTGGAGTACGCTTGAAAAACGGAAAAAATGCAAATTGCTTTGATTAGCCGCTTGGATGTGAAAATGTATATTAATGTGCTTGAAAAAATGTTTGAAAACTAATTGAAAAAAGTATTGAAAAAAAAATGTAAAATAAAATTGAAAAAATTCTGCAAAAGTTGTTGAAAAATTTTTTAAAATAACATTCGAAAATTTTGAAAAACGATTTTGAAAAATAATTTGAAAAAAGAAAAACTATAGATATTCAAACTGAAACGATTTTCTTTAACAAAACAAAATAATATTTGATATAATGAAAATTTATCTTCAAGGTGTGAAAGTTTAATAAAAATTTACTGAAATGAAACTATTTGTTTTTTCGAAAATTGAAAAACATACATATTTTGGAATTCAAAATGAAAATCTAACTAAAACGCTCTGTGAAAAGATTTGAAAATTTACATCTTGAGCAATATTTAAATCAAATTTTGTACAGTATTTAAAATACTGTTTCATTGCGAAAAAAAATTAAAAAAAAGAAAAGTAAAATATGAGAGAAGTTATTTTCTATTAAAACCTACACTAAAACAAATTTCGTTTGTTTCTTTCAATTGCTAAAGTGTGAAAAATTTTAATCTTAGTAAAAACAAAACGAATTGAAATAATGTTCGAAGTTTTTTTAATTTAAAAATTTTAGTTCGAAAAATTACAAAAAGTGTAAAACATACTTCGAAAATCAAAACAAATTTTTTTCAAAAGCAATGTTCGAACTGATTTTAATTTCAAATTTTGAGTTCGAAAAATTAGAAAAGTTTTAATAAATGCTTAAAAAGTGAAAAAAAATTTCAAAATTTTCCATAAAAATATTCGAAAATTAAATTTCCAATCGAAATTTCCATTCGAAAATTAAATTTCCAATATTTTAGCGAAAAATTCAATATTTATAAAACGAAAACATATTTTTTCAATACTTGATAGTGAGACAAACAAATAATAATCGAAACAGAAGCAAAATAAAATGTAAAAAGGAATATTCATAAATAAATGCAAAAAATTAAAAAATTACAAGCACTGTTTTTTCAAAAGTGTAAAAAATATATAATAAAAGTAAAACAAAAATTAAATTTAAGCCTAAAATTTCGAAACTAGTTTTCGAAGTTATTTGTCGAAAATACAAAAATCTAGTGTTTTAAATTTTGATAATAATATTCGCGCAGCATTTGAAAGGAAAAAATAAACTAATTATTTATTTAGAAAAGCAACTATTCTCGACTATCAAAAACTACAAAAAAATTGTAGCAACAAAAGCAAATCGACTTGAAATTTTTGAGAAAACGACGATCACACACAAAATCGCAAAGCTAAAGACCAACTTCAAAACTTAAATTAAATTTTCATCGCTGGAACGACACAACTTCATATAGAGAATTGAGTGCAATTATTTAATTTGCATATCATTCACCTCTTAAGTTATGGATCGTATTTGGAAAAAGTTTTTGCTATGCTTTGTTTTATGTTCAGCGTTAAGAGAATGCTAATAAGCAAACACGCACACATAATTACATATATAGAATCATATATACAAACATTCTGAAACTAATAAAGGCCTTTTTATTGTACCAAGGTGCTTAAATCATACACCATCAACTCATCCGAAATATATTTTTCGAAATATTCATATCAAATATGCGTCACTTTTTTTAAAAAAAGTAAACACGATGATTTGCAATTAGTTCAGTAAAGAGCGAAGCTGCAACGTGACCGCAACTACGACACTTTTTATGGGTTATTTTCTTGTTTACTTCTCAGCCTATTCGCTTGACGATCGCTTGGAACAGATATATACGCTCGCATAGGCAGATCTTTGTATTGCTTTACAAACAATACAGTTTTTTTATTTATTTGTAGCGTGATTTACTGTTTGCTGTGGTTTTCGTTGTTTTTGTACCTTGTGAAACGAATCATCGCTTTTATATTCTTAAGAATATAATTATAAATGTGGAGAAAAATCAATTAGAACCCCTCACATGGAATGGCACGCGATCACTTCGGATTGTAGGTTTTTTTTTTCAGGAGAACACGGTGGGTGGCTTGTGAAATTCACAGCAAACTTTTTAGGGGTTTACTGGTGTAGTTCCTTGAAAAATTTATACTAAGTTTAAAATACATGATTGCTTTTTATAGACTTGTGAGTTTTTTTGTGATTATTCCACAAATTATTTCTTATGCGAAGCGTAGCCAGTGAATTTTAAAAATCTTTTAAAACCACAATTTTAACAAGTCTTAACAGTTTTTGGAGCAATTTAAGCACAAAAAATATCAACTATCAGCAACTATAGCCTTTCTAAAGCTATTCAAAAGCTTTCTACATTTATTAAGTACAAGGAAAGTGGTTAACTGCAAGTCATTTTATGATTTATAGAAGTAACATTTATTTTTTATTTTTTATTTTGTTGAAGTGGAACTAAAAATAATATTTTGTTAGCTCTGAAGCTTGTCGAAAGCTTTGTGAGCTTTTACTTTTTTATAAGGGCGATAATAATATTAAATTACGGCAGGTATTAAGTGTTAAAGGGCTCAACTGAAATTTATTATGAACACATGAAATTTAGTCAAAAGCTTTTGAAAGCCATTTCCTTGTTATCAAATGAAAAAGCTTCGTATACAATTTATTATTAATGGACTTTGATGAGTCTATAAGTATATTTTATATGAAAAATCACTGTTTTATTAAGCTTGAGAGTCTTATTAAAACAATTAAGTTAAAATATAGAATAATAAAAGCTTCAAGTGTCATATAGAACCTTAAGTTTATCCAAAAAGGATTTATAAACCCATATTATAAGCTCTTTGTGAATCATGGAATTATTTATACAATGCTATAAAGCCTAATGTGATAAAGTTTTTACGGTACAAGCTGATCTAAATATATGTTTTGTTTTTTCTAAATGTTTTTTGTTTTTTTTTTTAATTAAAGTTAAACATCTCTACAAAAGTTGCGATTATGTTCGAACGTAATCATTGAGTCATTATAATAAATTATACTAACATGACATAATGCTCTAATATACATCAATCATAACCAAAATTATCGTTTCATACGGCTTTATAATTTTCCAAAGGAAAGCGCCTGCGGTTAGGCTACATAAAATCAGATCATACTCATAATCCTCTATCACACATGACCGTTTCAGTGCTTATTATTTCATTATTCACACTTATTTCGGCTTGTGGCGTAATTTAAATATGCAACAACACTGTTGGTCAATTTCTGCAATTTTCTAATATAAGAAACAAAATTATAGCACATGATTCCAGATGTGAGCAGTGGTAATACAACCAATTTAAAAAGTATTTGAAAAAAAAAACGAAAAGAAAACAGTGAAAATAAATAGCTAAAACGCAAATAAAAACAAAGGATTAATAAAGTAAATTAGCGTACCATCGCCCTACAAATTCACCGTGAAAAATGTGCGAGCCGCGTAGGCGTATACGCAACCTCAATTCTGGCTTACAATTCCTAGTGCGTGCGCGTCTTATTGGCGCTCTAATAGTTTGCAACACTTAAATACTGCTTGTTACAGAAACAACAACAACAACAATAATAGTTATAACAACAAAAACTTGTGTGTTTGTATAAACATTTTCGCTTGGTAACTTAAGGCCCATTTAGAGCTCACCGTCGCCGTCGGTTGAGCGCAGTGGTCACAGCCGAAATGACGTCGCAGACGAGCACTTGCAACAGCTTCTTCCAGGAGCATGCGAACAGCGCGCTGAATCAATATTTTCAGCAACTGAATTCGAATGCGTCTGCTGCTATGAGTAGCAGCAACAACAGTGATAGCAGCGCCAATGAAGGCGGCAGCAGCATAACCAGCTCATCGATGGAGGGCAATCGCAGCAGCGTTAGCAGCATTGATTCGTCGAAATCGGTGAATAGTAACGGTAATGGCAGCGCAGCAGCACAATGGAGCAATATGCAGCAACAACAGGCGCAGCAGCAACAGCAGCAGCAGCAGCAACAACACCAACAGCAGCAGCAGCAGCAACATCATCATCATCAGCAACAACAACAACAACAACATATGCATCATAACCAGCAACAGCAGAACTCACACCAGCAACAGCAACAGCAAGCGCAGCAACAGCAACAACAGCATAATCATCATCAGCATCAGCAGCAGCAACAACAAACACAACAGCACCAACAGCAGCAGCAGCAACATGCACAGCAAACGCATCACCAGCACCATCAGCCACAGCAGCACCAACAACAACAGCAGCAGCAACAGCACTCCCACCAACAACAACATCAGCATTCCGCAGTGGCAGCCGCCCACAACCAACTGTCCGCACTTAGCCAAACACTCACACAAAATTTGGCCGCCGCCGCTGCCGCATCCAATGCCTCCACCAACTCCAACCCACACTCGATCTTCGGCTCTGGCAATTTTCATTACAAAACCAACAACTCATGGACAATACCCACCTTATCGTGCTACCAGCGCCTCTACAATGAAAACCAGCAACATTATCATCGCCAATTTGGCAATGGTGGCGGCAGCGGTGGTGGCAGTGGTGGCTCCAGCAACGGTGGTGTTGGCGCCAGCAGTAACTCCTCCGATTCCCAAGCGCTGGCACAGGTCACCGGCGGTGGTGGTGGTGGTGGCAACAACGGTTTGGGCAATTGCAATTCAAACGCTGCTGCTGCATCCGTGCAACATGTTGCTAACGCTGTGGCGGCCGTTGTTATGGCCAACGAGCAGCATCAAAGTCATTTGAACAGTTTGAAGGCGCGCTTCCAGGCACCCGGCAATGCAGGTAAATACGGGAGGAGCACTTAACATAATTCAATTTACTTGCAATTATTTGGGTTACGCTTGAATCGTGTTTCTAATATCAATTTTAATGCTTAAGTTGCTCTCTCAATGTATATGCACTCGCCCTCTCGCTTGCTCTAAGAGAAACGTGCGTCAACCTTCTAGGTTCTAGCGATCATTAGATTTGTGTGGTGCTCTCAATTGCAATCTCTAGAACTGTATTCTCGTGCAGCTTACGCTGACTGCGCTGTTGCCGAATGACGCGCGCTATCGCCGCCAGCGTTGCATTTTAATTAATCAGCCGTTACTCACCTTTTTCCCCACGTGATCCGTATTTGATATTGCATTTGCGTTTGCACGTACCCTCATATACACACATACATATATATATTTATATGTATATTATAATTACCCATGAACAAGCAAATATCACTTGACTAGCTGGCGCTCTTTAGCTGCGGCATTTAAATGTTGAATATGAAATATCCAATTTTCGCTCGCAGTATTAGACAGAGCGGTTTTATGACGCACTTATGTTAGCTTATGCCAGCTGAAGCTGAGAATTTATGGCGTATGCTTAGCCATATACTTACATATGTGTAATATAGTATACATATATTGTATATAATAGCTCTTCCGCTCATATGCCGTGATAATGACCGCAACACCTTGGCATTCAATTATTTTTGCCAAGTGTTTTCTGAATATGCATGAATATGCATTACTAGCATTCTAATTTTAGCATAAATATATGGAATCATAATTTAAACAAGGCTTAATGCCTTGTGATGTGTGACTGTATTAGCTTGTATTATGAATTTTCGATCTTGATATTGAGAAATAATGTTGTAGTCGGCGGTTGATTCTTGTATGATAACTGTTAGACTTTTAGTGATCGCGACTCATAGTTCAGGGTCTTTTTGACCTTTTTAACCCGAAAACTTACTGTTTTTTCTTCTGATGCTTTTTAGGGAAAGTATACAAGGTGAAAGCTTGAATATTTCGCTCAGTGCCGAAAAAAGTTCATTGAAGTTTTAGTAATTTTTTTTTTGGTGATCTAAGTTAAGAGATGGAAAGGTGGTTACCGAAGAATGGTGGAAGGGCGGCGTCGACTCGACCTTATAATAGGTTGTCAAAAAAGTCTTGCGGTATTTTTTATTTTATAACGGTTTGATGACTCATGCCCAGCTCTTGACCGATGCTACGGTTGCTACTATACCGGTCTCTTTCGACCAATTCAGCGTTTTTATCGCAATTTTCGACGACAGGCTTTCCGGAGCGTGGCGCATCTTCGACCACCTCTACACCAGAATGAAAACGTTGAAACCATCGTTGTGCGGTGGAAATGGAAACTGTATCGGGTCCATAAACTGCACAAATTTTATGAGTATTGGCGGCTTGAGATGCATTTTTGCCTTCATCGTAGTAGTACTGTAAAATATGCCGTATTTTCTCTTTATTTTGCTCCATGTTTGCGACGCTATAACTCACAAACGACATAAGAGAAACGATAATCAGTCAAACATGTGTTAGCGCGTGAAATGAGCAAAAAGGTATAACCCGTTGCGACGAATAAACCTAGAACTACATGCTCTCAGCGCCAACTAGCGAAAATACCGCAAGACATTTTTGACAACCTAATACTACAAATCATAGCGCCCTTACATAATAAGTTTTGAAGTAAACAAATGATATGTTCTAAATCTATACATTTATTCGCATTCGTGACATAATAACGATGGAGAAACCAAAAAAAAATGTAAAAATTAAGATCTTTTGAAAAAAAAAAAATTGATTTTTGCACTTTTTTGTTACTAACTATTTTTTAGAGGAAAAATATTTTTGCCAAGTTTTAGTACGGATTTTTGTAACATGCGTCAATGTGACTCTGCAAAAAATTAAAAAAAAAAAAACAGTTTTTAGTTTATTTATTTATTTATATATTAATTTCCTAGTCACGAAAAATATCACAGTCCTTCATCATGAATATCCCTTATGCTTGCATATATAAAATACTTGTAAAAAACTATACAACTGCTGAAAGTGATTTTCATACCTTTCTTCTTTGACGGAAGTCATTCTTATGTGACTATAACTTTTCACTTCCTTATCAGCCCATCATTGTGAATCAATTAACATTAATAATGAGTAGACAATGAAGAGACTCGCTTTACATTTCCACGTATTGCATTTACAGTTTCTTGCAGTAATTAATATTTACTTAGAATATTTTTAGCTGCTTCCGAGTAGCCTTGCTATATTCAGCAATGCATATGTGTTTGTGCTATACTTAGCTGCCACTGTTAAATGAAATGGTTCACTGATTAGGCGAATAGAGCAAGAAGCGGAACGTTTCTGGAAATTCGTCACATTTAATACACTATCCGTCACGGCAGGATTTGCCCATTTGCAAATGTCGTAAAGATATGGAAAAGGCAAAACAAAAATCGTAAAAATATGGTATGGTCCGAAGGTCGGTATTTAGCTAATAGTAGTCAATGAACGGCAATAATGAATTGATGAACGAAATGGTGAGTGTATGAAAGGTGAATTTCAGCGGAGTATACACTTCAGATTTATGGCGTAACATTTGCCAGGAGAATTTTCTTTTTAATATTAAGTTGGAAATTACAACAAAA